GGGAGGGGGACAAAAAACACCAACTTCCTGCCATCAGGTCAATTGCAAGTTGCAACAACCCTATATAGGACAGAATAGAACTGGCCCATTGGGCTTCCAAGACTGTAAATATCTTTTAACTAATAAATGCACAGGTTTTTTTTTTTTTTTTTTTTTTTACATCTTGTTACATGGTCTCAATAACATGTAAAAATTATATATCAGAGTAGTCAAAAAGTATTGCTACTGGGGGTTCCAGTTCAGACATACACAGGTTTATTCCAAATAAAATGCGTTACCCATGTCTCTGCAATCAGTGGATGGCTTCAGACAAGTTCTCTAATACACTTATCTTAGTCTCCTCAGGGTGCCTTCCATAAGGTTCCATCAAAACACTTCCAAGGGGATGTACTGGTCTAGTTAAATTCAAGGCAGAGCTGTCAGCTGACAAGGGCATGACAACTGGTATTAGGGACTCCAAAGGATTAATCTTGATAGATTTCCTCAAATGACTCAGAATGATTATGAGGGGTGCTTAGTATGAAGAAGGTTTAAGAATATGAAAAATTACATTGATGACAAAAAGCCAGGAAAATGGAACCAATACATTTTTTTCCCAATCTGGTTTCCCTGCCCCTTCTTGACTTTCATCTTTGTTTTGGAGTACATGTTGCCCTTTGGTCTTACATAGCTGATTATTGTAAGGAGCACATTGCTCACAGGTTCATTCTTTGGAGCAGTCTATTATGTAGCTGAGAGGAACGTCTTCATCTCCATGCTACAAGGGTGATTTGAGCAATAGCCTCAAGGGTTCATTCAGTATTTATCAGACCAGCAAGTCTGGTCTTTTTTATGAATTTGACTTTTTTTCTACATTTTTCTTCCATGCTAACCATGGCCTATTATTATGCCACTAGTCGAATGATTGGTAAAAGCAACCAGATACCATCTAGTATTTCTAGCATTTGGCTATAGGAAGATGACGTTTATGTGGGCCACTGGGTTTTTAGATTAATTTCTTTCTTGAGTCTTTCATTTTCTTCATTCTTCTTTGCTCTGAGTGTGAAGAGAACAATAGTATCTTAGGTGTATTTTCACAAGGGGGCTCTTTCTCTCCCTACATTACTCAAGAAGACACAGCAATTGTGGTCATATAGTCAAGCTACAATCACACCCTATAAAATCCCACCATTCAGGCAAGAACCAATACCAGCTGCCATAAACCAAGTAGGCAGCCAACATCTGCGACAGTTACCCTGAGTTGAGTAGTAAGAAGAGTGAAAAAGGAAGCCCATATCCTGATCACATCTACCTAGAGGCAATCAAAAAGCATAATAAAATACCAAAACATACATTCATCTAAGTATTAAGGTCACAGCCAACTACTGAATATGCCCAAGAAACAGATGACCATCTCTGGACATGTCCAGAAACAAGATAAAGTGACTGAGACAAATGAGCTGGAGGTAGGAGGGTAGGCTTTGGAAGGAGGGTAGGCTTTGGAAATATCTGAGGAGGAATTAAAAAAATGATAATGAAATGTATCAAAACACTTCACAGAGGAGTTGAGAAAAATAAGGAAGAAGTCAGAAAGTGCTACAGGAACAATCAAATAAGATAGATACAGCATTGGAAACAATTCAAAATCTACAAAAAGAGAAGCAAATGATTAATAACAGAATATCAGAAATGGGCAATGCACTGAAAGGGCAAAGGAGTAGAATTGAAGAGATGGAAGCCAGAACAAGTGGGCTGGAAGACAAATCTCACAATACTACTAAGATAGAAGAGCAAGCAGAAAAAAGGATTAAAAAATCTGAAGAAGGTCTAAAGACTCATATTAGACAACATAAAGAAGAATAAATTAAGAATTATCGGCATTCCGGAACAGGAAGAATCACACAAGTCCACAGAGGAGATAGTTGAAGATCTTCTGGAAGAAAATTTCCCTAACATCCTGAAAAGTGAAAAGACAAACATTCAAGAAGCTCAGCGAACCCCAGGAAGGATAGACCCCAAAAGAAAATCACCAAGACATGTAATAATCAAGCTCTCCAAAATCAAAGATAAGGAGAGAATCCTGAAAGCAGCTAGGGAAAAGAGACATGTTACATACAAAGACAAACAAATCAAGCTGACGGAACTGAAGGAAAAAAAAATCAAACTTCGACTTCCAATATTGAAGTATTCTATGGAGTCATGGTGTGGTACCACCAGGGTAAGGCACTGGACTGAAAAGTAGGCTTAAACTGCAAGTTAGTTCAGTGGCTCAAGTTCACTATGAGTAGGAACCAACTTGATGGCACTTAACTACAACAACAATATGTGCAAAATAGTGAATGATACAGAAAGCATCTAAAGAAGATGGAATACACAGTCACTGTAGCAGAAAGAGATGGTGGATCTTCAACCATTTGAAGAGGTAGCATATGAGCAAGAGTCAATGATACTGAAGGAAAAAGTGCAAGGTGCATTGAAGACATTGGAAAAGAACAAAGCACCAGAAATAGATGGAATAAAGTTGAAATCATTCAACAAACTAATGAAGCCCTGGAGGTACTCACTCATCTATGCCAGGAAATTTGGAAGACAACTACCTGGCCAACTGACTGAAAGAGATTAGTATTTGTGCCCATACCAAAGAGAGGTGACCCACAAGAGTGCAGAAATCATCAGACAGTATCATCGATATCACATGTGAGTAAAGTTTTACTAAAGGTAATACAGAAATAGCTGCAAGTATAGATTGATAGAGAACTTCCAGAGGTTCAAGCTGGATTCAGGAGAGGACGTATTGAGGGATAACATTGCTGGCATCAGATGGATCTTGGCTGAAAGCAGAGCATACTAGAAAGCTGTTTACTTGTGTTTTATTGACTATGCAAAGGTTTTCGATTGTGTGGATCACAACAAGCTTTGGACAGCATTGCATAGAATGAGTATTCTGGAACACTTAATTATGCTAATGAGGAACTTGTACATAGACCAAAAGGTAATTGTTCGAATAGAACAAGGGAACACTAAATGATTTAAAATTAGGGAAGTTGTGTGCCAGTGGTGTATTCTTTCACCATATTTATTCAATCTGTTTGCTGAGCACATAATCCAAGAAGCTAGATTATATGCAGAAAAATGTCACCTCAGGATTGGAAGAAGACTCATTAGCAACTTGTGATATG